GGTTTTCTTTGACATGGAGTTGGCCGCCACCTTCACCGCTCAAGACAAAAGCCGGGGCGCTCACGCGTGGCGTTCATGGGTTACCCACTGGGCTACCGGCTCGCGGTGATCTGTCAGGTAGCCTTGGTGGGATTGGTCGGAGTTGACCTTTACTATACCCAACGGTTGCAAGAGGACATTGGGTTGTTGCGGTTGCAGGTCAGGGCATTGGACTTCACACCTGAGCGCTCCCAAGACCCCGAGGAGGATCCTCCCACTTCAGGTGGACAGCCTTGGTCTTCGCGGCGCAAGCCGGAGGCTGAAGCCAAGGTTCTGGTGGGATTTGATCATCGGGGCCAGTTGAGTTTGGGACAGTTGTTTACATTGCTGTTGATCTTGCTTGCAGGGCTCATTGCATTGGGTTGGTTGACCTTTGGCCGACAGTGTTCAAAAGCATTGACAGAGGGTAGCAGTTCGCCCTTACAGAAGCGTGACTTGGCTCAGAGGCAGCTGGCGGAACTACGGCTTCGTCGGCATGGCTTTGGTCAATAGGCACATTTTGTTGGAGTATGATGTACCTGGACCCCGTCTTTGGCACGAACGCCTTGTGCTCAGCCACGTGGCGGGTGAAGTGTACATCATAGCGACACCAGACCGTGATGTCTATGCTGAGGAGTTGGGGGTTACCACCTGATGTCATCGCCGGTGAGGTCTACGCCTTGCCTGCCTGGACAGCGAACGATTTGCACAACCTCCGGGAGGAAGGTCGCAGAGTTGCTGAGGAGGAACGTCGTGCGATGGCTGGTGGTGCTGGTCCTTTGGCGGCAGCCGCCGCCGCGGGGGCTCCGGTTGTTGCGGGGGGCCGCGGCATCCACCAAGATCGACCCGGTTGAAGGCTACGAGGCTGGAACCCTGAAGTGGCTGGCGGCTGAATCCAACTCCAGCCACCAATATGGCCAAGAGGTTCAGGGGGGTGCCCAATCCCCTGGTGAAAGACAGCAAGATTGTCCACATTGGAGCCGATGGTGTCAGCATCTTTCTTCAGTGTGTTGATGGTCAGGATTATTTCAATTTTTTGCAGAGGCCAGCAAGGTGTGACCCCAGGGTGCTGCCGGTCGAGTTGAACCCTATTGGGCATCCGGAAAGGACTTTGAAGGAGGTCGCATCCATGGGCGCTGAAAGCAAAGTGAGGTGGGAGCTGGCCGGTCCACGTACCAGCAAATGGTGTGTGAACTATTTGGCCATCGAGAACCTTGGCTTCGAGGGGCACCATGAGAGACTCCGACAAGTCACAAAGGCTGATGCAAGTAGTTGGGGAATTCAGGAGCACTTCCAGGTCAGCATGGCCCTACGCCAGGCCCTCCTTGTCGACCAGCTTGACCCCTACAACCTGTTGAGCATTGAAATACAATTCAGGCGGCTCCAAACCATCGAGTACTCTTACAGCGAGAAGGCAAGGGATTTGGAGGCAAAGGCTGTGGGTGGGCGGTTGAGTTTAGAAGAGCAGACCACTTTTGGAGGCATTACACGACAGTACAGTATATTGATGATTTGCCCCCAGTTGTTGGATCACGTCAAGATCGAAACCGAGAAGGAGGCCAACCTGGCCAAGAACTTGCGGAAGGCCCGCGAGGAAAGAGAAGCAGCTCGCAAGGGAGCAAAGAAGGGGGGTGACAAGTCAGAACACCCTTGAAATACCAGGTGCAGCAGAAGTCAGGCCTTGCAGCTGCTGCCATACCTTCAGAGGCCGTGCAAGTTCGGGAGGTGGACAGAGACATCTTTCCACTGCCAAGAGTTTTGAATTCAAGACCACCCTTGGGTCTTTTCTCGCGGAAAAGTCAGCAGAGGATTGGCCGGAGGAGGCATTTTGAGCAGGAGGTGGATCACACAGTGGATGCCCTCAACACTATGTATGGAAGGCCTGGAGGACCTCACAAGAGGTATGGTGGTTCGAATAGTGGACCAATCAGTTCTGGCCAGGCTCATGCTTTGGAATTTGTTGAAGATGCATGCAGGAGGGTAGGGGCCCCACCTTTGCTCTCCGGCCCAGAGGCCCTTGAGGAGCTTCGGGTTGCTGAGGGGTACGATGACTTGCCGACTTCGTGCCCCCTTGGATCCTTCAATCCTGACCTGGTCTCATTGCCATCTGAGGGCATGAATCCCGTGCCTTTGGAGTGTTTGTGGGGCGAGGGCGGGCAACAAGAGGTGGAGGATTTCACCGTTCACCAGACGCTGGGCATAGCAGAAGCTCGCGAGCGTCTAGACCAATGTGGCCTCAGCAAATGTTATGAAGACCCGCAATTCAGAGACCGAAGAAAATACGCCAGCTTCTTGCACAGACTGTTGGACCTAGGCCTCATCACCCTTGGTTTGGAGCCGGCGGTTGAGACGGTGGGTATTTTCTTTGTGAAGAAGAAAGGTGGCAAACTTAGGATGATCTTGGATTGCAGGCGGAGCAACTGCCATTTCAGTACACCTGAGAACATCAAACTTGCCACCGGGGAGAGCATGAGTCGCATGGAGTTGAAATCACATGGACAATTGTTCACAGCCAGTGCAGACCTTCAGAATGCTTTTTACACCATGGCCATGCCCAGCACACTTCAGAAGTTTTTTGGCCTGCGCAAGGTGCAAGCTGGAGAGCTAGGGGTTGCAGAGGTTGCTGGCTTGAGACTACAGCCCACCTCTTGGATCTACCCCCGCATTGCAGTGATCCCCATGGGTTGGTCTCATGCTATGTGGTGGTGCCAGAGGATAAGCGAACGCATTTGTGAAAGGTCAGGACTGCTTCCATCTGAGAGGCTGCGTGATGGACAGCCGCCACCTCAGGGAACCTTCTTCCACGTCCAGTATGTCGATAACCTCCACATTTTTGGAAACGACAAAGAGGAAGTGGAGACAAGGTTCTGGAAAGCAGTCGAGGCCCTAAGAGCGGCTGGACTTACAGTACATGAGATAGAAGTGGCTGATGGCTCAAGCAAGGTCCTTGGTTGGGAAATTGAGGACGGAGGCTACCTGGCGCCGTCCTTGAGTCGGCTTTGGAGATGTCGCTTGGGCATCCGTGAGTTGCTACGACGGGGCCGTGCCAGTGGCCAACAGCTGGAGCGATTGATCGGGCACATGACATTCGTATCACTTTGTCGGCGTGAATCCCTCTCAGTCTTGGGGGATTGTTACACCTTCATCCAGCGCAACTATACCCACAGCGCAAACTTGTGGAAAAGTGTTCGCAGAGAGCTTTGGCAGTGGGATGGTATAGCGCCTCTCATACGGGTCAACATGAAGCTGGTTTGGGGGGACACCATCTATGCCGTCGATGCTTCCGATTGGGGACTTGGGGTAGTTAGCAGTACAGTTGAACCCAGTTTTTCACAACAGCTTGGTCGCTATGTGGAGAGGTGGCGTTTCAAAGACGATGGCTGCAACAACCCCAGGTCGTTTGTGCAAGTTGAGGGGGAGCTTGAAGGTGTTCACCATGCACAAGATGAAGGTTCAAATCCATCCCTCCGTTTCAAGGGGGTGCCTTTCACCGCTGTGGATCGCACCTGGCAGGTGGTGGGCCGAAAGCGCTGGCAAAGAGAAGAGACGATGCCCGTGTACGAGGCCCGGGCCACCCAGTATGCTGTCAGACACATCTTGAGGAGTCAGAAGAATTTTGGTAAGAAGTTCATTGTACTCACTGATAGCATGACAGCTGCTGTTTCTTTTGACAAGGGCCGTGCACAGAGTTTTAGGCTCCGGAGGGTCGTACAGCAGACGGCCGCTTTATGTTTGGGATCAGGGACACTTTTTCGGTGTCGTTGGGTGCCTAGCGAATGGAATCCCGCTGACGGGCCAAGTCGGAGTAAATTTGCTCCCTCCAAGCCGGTTCACAGATTTTGGGACGATTCACAGACAACTGGGCATTCAGGTGACATGGAACAGACCCTCGGAACGAAAACGAAAGACATCCAGTCTGCAACAGAGACCCACCAAGAGAGCCAAGCTGCGAGAGGCCGCCCAGGGAGGGTTAGGGGTTTCGGCGGTGACCAATCACCATCTTGCCCCCCTCACCTGGGACATAGAACTCAGCAACATGCCCGCAGCCGAAAAGAAGAGACAAAGAGCCAGGAGACGACAGCAGAAGACTCCAGAACCAGGTATGGGGGTGCTCCGCAGTTCATCGGTGGGGAAGTTCACCCTCAGGAGGTACAGAGAGATGTGGCAGAGCTTTGTCCAGTGGAGTGCAGGCCAAGTGCGACAGACCATGACATGGACCCAACTGGACAGACACCTGAGCAATTACCTCGAGGAGCTTTACCTCGAGGGAGAAGACCTGAGCCGAGCAAACTATGTGACTGCTGCCGTGATTTTCCATGTGCCGGGAACCAAAGGCCTGGCAGCCCTTCCGAGGGCCCAACAGGCCATGAAGGGGTGGCGGAAGCTCTGCCCACCTCGAAGCCGGATGCCCATCCCCTACGAGGCCATCTGTCTGGTGGCCAACAAGGCGATGGACTTGGGTCAGCACGAGATTGCATTGGTTTTGATGATGACATTTCTCTTGTATTTGAGGCCTGGCGAGGCCTTCTCCCTCAGAGTCCGAGATTTGGTCTTGCCGTTGAGACGAAGCGGCAAGGCCTTCAAAGACCATGCCATTCTGCTCCATCCGCTGGAGGTGGGGGTACCATCCAAGACAAAACAGTGGGACGAGATGTTGACACTCGATCTGCCCCACCTGAAGTTTTTGGGTCCCGCATTGGAGCGTTGGATGCAGGTACAACACAGGAGCAAGGACGAGCCTTTGTTCCAGACCACTCTTCAAGAGACAAACCAGTTCCTAGAGGACCAGTGGAAACCTCTGGGGTTGCAACCTTTGGGAGCTCCGCACATGTACCGTCTCCGCCACGGCGGAGCATCGTTCGAGGCAGCAAACCAGTTGAGAGAGATCTCAGGCATTCAAACTCGGGGTCGCTGGTTGACACAGAAGTCCATGAAGAATTACGAGAAAGGGGGGCGCCTGCAACAGCTGTTTGGAAGCCTCAGCAAGCGCCTCTTTTTCACTCAAAAAGAGGCGCTTCAGGCCGCCAAAGACGTCGTCAGGCGGCTGTTGAAAAAGCATTGAGCCCCAAGGCATCGTTGAAAGTTGCAGTTTTCATCGAGATTTTTTGTGGGTGTGGTCGATTAGGTAGAAGCGTTGCACATGTTACAGCTTGGCCGGTTCTGCTTTGGGACATTGCTTTTGGCCCTGATTATGACTTGACCAAGCGAAAACATCAACAGTTGATATTAGGTTGGTTGCAAGCTGGCTTGATCCGGGGTGGACACCTCGGTACCCCGTGCAACAGCTTTAGCAGAGCCAGAGACCGACCTGGAGGACCCCCGCGGTTGAGGAGCGATGAACTGCCTCTTGGGTTACCCAACTTGCGGCCTGTCGACTCCGAAAAGATCCGTGTGGGGAACTGTCTGATGTTTTTTAGTTGTGCAGTGCTTCGGTTAGCATTACATTGGCAACTGCCGTTCACCATGGAGAACCCTTCACGATCGAGAATCTGGTTGTGTCCCTCGGTGCGATGGCTGCTGAAACGGCGCAATGTGAGTTCTGAGACAGTTCATTACTGTGCTTTTGGGACAAGGTGGAAAAAACCCACCTCATTCCTGGGTACCTTTTTGGACCTCTCGGTGCTGTCACACTACAAATGCCACAGCAGTCGACGAGGCATATGCCAATACAGCCACAAGCCACACCTTCCTCTCATGGGACAGAATGAACAAGGTGTATGGTACACCAAGTTGGCAGAACCCTACCCAAACCAGTTGACAAAGGTTGTTGCAGTTGCCTTCAACAACAGCGAACTTTCACAGCTTGCAATGGCATTTCAACGCCACTGTTGAACTGCAATGGTTGTTTTGAAAGCGGCTACACCAGAGGGCTCCGTGCAACACTGGGCAAGGTTGGGTGGTGGCAGAAGACGACTTGGTTGGACGCTGCAGCTTTCAGCATGTTTTCACTAGCGCTTAGATGTGCACTGGCCTTGAGTGAAAAGATGCGACCGGGATGCATATA